GGTTATCGGTATCGGCCAAAATGTTCATATCGGTGCATCCCTACCGTCTACATAATAAAATAAGGGAAAAAACGTTTATATGTAAAAGAATGAAAAGCAAGGTTTCTTCTCTTTTAACAGTGTCCAATAGAATGGTTTCACTTTGCTTGTGTTGGCCTAACAACCAAACCAAAAGGAAAATGGTGAGCCAAATTCTATGCTTCATATTTATTTTATTAGCACACTTCACATACTGACTGACTTCTCCATGTACTTAATATTACAGTTTTAAAGTATTGTGTTCTCCATTTACAGGTACTGCCCACGATGCACCCAAGAGATGAGAAAAAAATAGTCTACTTCTACAATGCATCCTAAATCAAATGTCCGGTTATTACAGCCTGTTCAGTGGAAATCAATTACCTTTTTGTAAATGTGCCTTTCCTATGGAGACGACCATGAATGTAACAATAGGGAATAATATTAAATGTATTTTCCAGTTGGTGCCAGCAGAGGGCTTGGATCTCTTTACATTTTGCCTTAGAATAAAGTTTTTTTTTATGTTGTTACTTTTATTCCTTGTTTAAATAGCTTGCATCTTACTATCTATAATATATAAATTAAGTATTTATGTTTATCTAAACGCCTGGCTCTCATAGGACTGAAACACTTTGGCATACCGGTGAATCGTAGAATGAAATCATTTGGCCAAGTTCGAATCAGATCAGTGTGGGGAAATGTAGTTTTTTAGTGTATTCCACTTCAGTGCAGTGCAATCAAATGTAGACTACATTTCCCGTCATGCAACAGAGCCGTCAGCATTCATGGACGGAACCCATTTGCAAATAGTAATTTGAGGTTGCAGAAAACGTCTAATCACCGTTCGTTTTTCGCGCAGTTTAAGAATATTAATTCAGATTTTTATGAATAATAGATTAGATTAAACACTGTCCAACCTAAAAAGCTACGTTTAGTGAAACCTACGTTTAGTGTCCAAACACTGGGCTGGGTCGACAGTTCCGCTTCCCCTCCGCCATATCAGACAGATCCTGGGTCCAAGAAGAAGTTAACTAAAAAAA